TCCCTCCCTCAGCGGGGGCCCTCGCCTCACCTGCCCTGTGCCGTGAGCCTTTCGGTGCTGGCTGAGGGGTCGAGCCGCCGAAGCACGGGCAGCCTCTGGAAGCGGGGTTTGGAGGGCAGCAGCCGTCCCGCCGAGGAAGGAGGACCCACAGGGGGGAGGCAGGCCCGGGGTGGTGTCTGGAAACCGGCCTTCGAGAGCCCATCCTCGGTGTTTCGAATGGCCGCTGAACTCTGGGGTTCAGGGCAAACAGCACCTTCCACCATGGCCCGGGACGAGTCTCTGGGAGAGGACAGCGGGTCCGGCCGGCGGTGGTTTAGGGCATGAGCTCCGCTGTTGTTGTCGGTGGTAATTAGCCTGGAGTAGCTGAGCGATTTCCTGGCTGTGGTGGCTCAAATGAGTGAGACCTTTAAATGCTGTAGAGGCTGCTAAGGACGCCCTGTGTTCTGTTCCTGCATCCCTACGGCACAGGCTCTCGGCAGGACGGGGCTGCGGTGGCTGCGTGTGCACCTCGGGAGCGGGAATAAGAGAAAAAACCGCTGTTGTGCTTCAGCTGGCTGGTACAAGCCGGTGGTTTGAGGTTAAATACCATGTCCTGGCTCCTAGACCAGGCAACAGCTCCGCCTCAAGCCAGTATACTCCAGAGCTTGGTTACAGGATTAGAGCGGAACACCTATCAGACAGCTTGGCGAGAGGTGTTGCTGAAGGAGATAAATCTTTGACCAATAACTATAATATGAACTTGTATTGCTTTAGAAAGCAGCTGTATATGCGGAGTGGTTTCACTTTGGATGCTGGATTGAGTTTTCTATTAAAAAAAATGAAAACTGATACTTGAATTTGTTTCTTGAGAGATTATTTGTTTACTGCAAAACCATTATTGTTTAATAGCACTGGGAAAATGTGTAAGAGATGGATATTTTTCCCTGCCTAATCTAGTATAAATAAGCTAATTAAAGAAGAAGGAATTCAGGAACACCAGGGGAAATGTTGGAATACAAGTGAGATCTAAAGTATTCCTCTGGAAAGATGCGCAGGGACATCGCCTCTGCGGACAGGAGGTCGTCGTTCTGTAGGATTTTGTTGGTTGCTGCTCTTGAGTGTTGTTGCTCTTGATCTGTGAAGTTTCTGCATTTCACTAGTAGGTAGCAAAAAAAATTAGTGTCGTGTGTACTTTGATACATTTCAATGTGCTGATTTAAAGACTGTTTTGCAGTGAGTTCCTCTAGCAGAAGAGCTGCAACAGTTGTTGCTGTAGTACTTTTTTTAAGAGTTGAAAATATCTTTCTGTGCCCTAATTAAAAAAAAAAACCCACAACAAACCCACACACACAAAAAAAACCCAAGCAAAACCCTTGATAGTGCTACTGCATGCTTAGCTATTTGAATTGATTGGGTATTTGTGAAGCACTCTCAGTTCCATTTCCAATTTTCTTCTCTCTGTGGTAAGAAAACCCAAAACTAATATGTCATTTGAGTTCAGTTTGGTGAGTGTGTAAAGTGCAAGCAGCAGAAATAAACGCAAACTTCCTGTAGTGTTCTGTTACGGGTCCTGGCCTTGAACCAGGGCTGACCGTGGCCAGGAGTTAAGGGTTTGTTCTCCATTAGTGTTCAGTCTTTGGTTGTTCTGTTGGGACTGGATTTGTCTGGTAAGTAGATTAAGAAGTTTGATACTTGTAGGTAAAACTCTAGCTTAGTCATGAAGTTAATAAAAATATTCAGATAAAGAAAGTTTTGCCGTAAGCTGTAATTAATAATAGCAATAATTAATAATAACATTTTGCTCCAAGGATGTTCAGATAATTTCTTCTCTAAATAAGCTGTATTTCTGAGGATGTTTTGGCTTTTGCTAGATAATTGGAAAACAGAGTTTTACATTTGAAATGGGAATTTTTCTGTAGGAAGAAAGCTGAGGCTTGGTACCTCTCAATAATAGAGGATTTCTTTAATATAAAAAGTGATTTATAGTGAGTATTAATGTAGTTTAGAGCCAAAGTTCATTGTGCTAGATCTCACATTAAGGGATTCTGTAGGGAAGAGTGTCTGCAATATAAAATTGGTAAAGTAAGAGTGAGGGTAGAGCTGAAGCTTAATTATCTTGATTAAGGTGCAGCCACTTCAATCCTGAAGAAATTGTTATATCTGAAAGTGTGGAATTATATATACATATAATTTAACCCACTGGCAGTTTCAGAGTGCATTATGAAACAATACAGACTTTCCTTTAAGATGAGCAGAAGCTCATACCACTTTTGTGCTTTCTTTACTGGTTCCATTGCTGAAATGAGAGAATTTGTATTGCTGGCAGGTTATTTAACTGGCTTTGTTTTGAGGATGAAGGATTTAAAAAAAAAAATAGCAGCAAAGTTATCCTATTCCCTCTCCTTTTCAGAGTCTTACTTTTTACCTGTAATCAAGTGAATGTTACTGGATTAGGTGACTGTAAGACTTGGTGGGGCAAATTTTAGCAGTTGGTATGGTAATATTTGGTTAAAAGTCTCAAGCAGCAAATGCAAGAAAGATTTAGAAAAGAGTAGGTTTGCTTGGGAATGTCTGTAGTTGATGGGTCTGCAGCAGAAAGCGCCCAGTGTGTCTGCAAGTAGGGTAAAGTTGTTTTTCCCAAAGCTATCAGTCTGGTTTAGGTGTATAGGACTCAGTAACTACAGTGAGAAAAATGTACCTTGATAACTTTGAAACAGACCCAAGAATTTGCTGTTTTAAATCAATACAATTTGAGATTTTCTGTCACTGTTGAAATTTCAGTTTCTTTTAATGGGGCTTGTTTTCCTTTTGAATGTGTCTGTCAGTTTGTGGTGTGCAGTTTTGTCAGCTGAGCCCCCTTCACTCATAGTGCATGTGGTTAGTCCACTCAAAATGCAAAGTAAAATGTGTTAAAAGCGAAGGATTTATGATGGTTGAAATTAATTAAATTTCAGAGCTTGAATTTATGGGTCTATATGCAAGTGTTGCTCTTGACTTCATTAGGTACAACTTAAGAAGTTTTTGTAAGCCATTTCCAGTCATGTACAGATACTTCTTTGAAGTGTAGCTCTGAAAAGAAATAGACTTACTGGTATATAGTGTATTTTGTGCTATAACATCTCTTGCTGACTCTGTGATTTTTTTAAAAAAATTTTTATTTTTTTTTACCTTTGTTCTCTTTCAAGTTGGGTTTGAAGATTATGGACCTGACTGTGATAGCATGAGGATAACAGCATTCTTGGATATTCCTGGACAGGATAATTTATCTCCACTGGCACGTCTAGAAAAATATGCCTTCAGTGATAACATATTTAACAGGTAAGGGTACAACAGCTACACTTGGTGATAACTGAGTCTGTTAGTGTTGTGGATATTAAGGTGTCACTACTTCTGTTATTATTCTCCTAAGCATGTACCTAATATTATTTTTGTTTGAATAACTTTTGTATAACATTTCCATAAAAAGAGGTTTTTATTCTTGACTGTCTGAATAAGATCTCTTGACTCCGTCTTTGTTTTGTTGGGACATGGAGAAACTGTGTGACTGGTATGTCTGAATGTTCAGAGAAGAGCTTGATCTTTTTTTAAGGTGCCCATTTGCATTTGATAAGTTCCCCTTGCATCCCATCTACATGTTGTCAGCAAGATATTAAGGCAATTAATATGTTTTTCACTCCACAGGCAAATTATTGCCAGAGGTCTTTTGGATGTCTTTCGAGATTTCAGTAATAATGAAGAAGACTTCCTGACTGTAATGGAAATAGTAGTCAGACTCTCTGAAGATGCAGGTTTGAAAGTTTTTTGTTTTTTTTTTTAATTTTTGTAAGTTATTTTATATAAGCTGCAATATAGAAGGCAATAACTTGATTTTCAGAAGGCCATCAGTGAACTAAAGAAACTAATCTAACAGCAATATCTATCAGTAAGAACAAGATACTTTTTAAAAAATTTTGCTTTTGAAGTATTTTGTATGGTAGGTGCATAAATGAAAGGCCCTTACTTAGTATAAGGCCCAAAGTAATATTTTTCAAGGAATTCATTAGATCTGAATGTGTGGTGTAAGTGGCACAGAACAGTTGTGTGTTTTAATGCTTCAAGTGCACACATTCATGGTGATTGGGTTTTCTAGCTGGTGCTCTTATTTTATCTGATTTTTTTAGGGAACTGATCCCAAGCCTCTGGGCTGTGATGATGTATGTTAGGCTGTTCTATTTAATCAGCTTTCCTTTAAGAAAGGGCAGTGTCAGTGGTGATATTCCTTATGTTTTGAGTATTTTCATTTTCCTCTGTTGGGAAAACATTAAACAAACAAAATGCTACTTTTTTCTTAAGGTACTTGATCTTAATTTCTTCATTTACTGATGTTGTTTTTACTTTCTTTTTATTACTAGAACCAACTGTACGTACAGAGCTGATGGAACAAATACCTCCTATTGCCATTTTTCTACAAGAAAGTCGACCAAGATTCCCAACAGCGTTTTTTGAGTACTTGATGCCCATAGTAGTGAGATACCTCACAGATGTTAACAATCAGGTAGGAAAAACAGACTCCATGTGGTGAATCATTGAAAAATTCTGTGTGGTTCAGTGAATTTCAGGCATGAGGAAGAAATACGGTGAAATTCCACCTTTGATTGATATCTAGCTTTTATGTAGCCCTTTGTGTTTATTGGTTCCAGCACACTTTGCTAGGGAGGTGACAATTGGAACCTTACAGGATTTACCTAGCAGCGTGTTGATGGTGTCTGTTACAGGAGCCATGACTTACAAGTACTGTCATCTACTTCATCTTTTGGCTTCTTCCCAGGATTTGATGAAATATAATGTTTCTATTCAACTTTACTATTTATTACTAATTCCTTATGATGTTAAAACTGAGAATTTTTTCATTTGTTTGTTTTTTAACCTGTGTGTTCATTGAAAGCATGTCTTGTGGTTCTTATGTCAGTAAATATTGTCTTTAATGATATACATTTTTGTTTTGTTTGTTCATATTAATAGGTTAGAAAGGCAGGTCAAGAAGCACTGCTTATACTGCTAGAACAAGATCTTGTTGCTCAGAGTGACATTGAAAATAAGGTGTGTCCAATTCTGTTGGACCTCTCTGCTCCTGACAGTGATGATGAGTACAAGGTGGAAGCTGTGAATGTAAGTGAATGTGGAAGAAATCTGATATCGTTTTCTTTTTTAATCACTCTTGTCTTCTTATCTTTTAGCAGTGCTGCTATAAAGCTCTTCTAGAATGTAACAACTTTATGTGGGATTTTCATGAGCATAAAACCTAGAAAATAAAAATTGTACTTGCATTCTTAGTGTCCTGAGAGCTTTGCATGAATAATTGAATTTTCTATATCATTACTATATCAGTTTGGTTTATTCCCTCTTTATTTGTTAGTCACTCTGTGAACTGAAACCCACTGTTGTGATACAGCTGAAGCTTAAGTGCGCTGAGCTGTTAAGCTTGAAACTGTGGGTTTCTTACTGATTTGTAGCGTTGAGCACCACTGAAACAATGTGAATTTACAAAGAATTTGAACAGGGTCAGAAACTGATGCACCATACTGAGAGGTTAAAAATTATCTTACTGAATTCAAGAAGAAAGCAAGGCTGTCCTCAGAACTGTGGTACTGAGTTCTGTTTATTAACACCTTTGGCTACGTGTAGAGGTACTTTGGGTGAGCTTTCTCTAGGTCCTGTACTTTTTATGTGATGAAGAAATCTGGGCTTCTGTGTCAATGAAGTGCTTGAGGAGTCTTTTTGAAATAGTGCTCTTGAGAGTTGAGCTATACAGTACAGTAATTGGGAACAAGATTTGTTACTGTATGCTTAAAAATGTTAAGTATCACAATGGAAGTTATTTTCCCAAAATGATGAGAGGCTTTTTCCTATAGTTGATTGATGATGTGTTGAGTACTTGAATGGAGTATTAACAAGAACTACCTCTCCTTTTCATTTATAACACTAATTAATATGAGGTCCAGGAATAGTGCTGATATTAAATAAAATAAGCAATCAAACCTTTTGTGTCTATTCATTAACTTACTTGATTTCATAATTTAACACAAAAAATCTTTTTTTTATTCTGAATTTTTGAAAAGATCAGGTTTAAAGAGACCATATTTATACTTCAGGATGCTAAATGATTGTCAAAATGGTAGCCAAATAACAAGTATTAAAACAAGGCTTCCAAGAACCAACTGCATTTTAAAGTTAATTGTTATGTTCCCCAGCAGTTTCTTTACATTTGTTCTACCAGGTTTCACAGTAATGTTATAAAAGTGTGAATGATGATCTGATCTAAATTCATAAGCATTTTTGAAAAAAAAACAAAAAACCCAAACCCCAAACAAAACAAAAACATTCCCTGTCACTTTCAATAAATCGATTGACTCCACAGAAAAATGCTGGTGTGTAATTTCATTTCATTTATTTTTGTGGAGCTAGAAAGCTTTGTTAATTTTTGAAAAATAAAAATAGAAAGATGAGTACTGTTAATCTGACAACACAAGTGTAAGCATTAAACTCCTGGTGCTGCAGGCATAACAGTTGAGTAGAAAGGTATGTGGGAGCCCCTTTGTTTTTACTGTTGCAAATACAAGAATTACAGCAAGTTACCCCTGAAAGTGGGAGCTGAAAGAAAATGTACAATCTAAAGCACGTGATTTTTGCAGCAGAAACATGGTTTGCAGTAGTAGTTGAAATTGAGGTTCCTCAGAGAAAGCTAGATAAATAAGCACATTACTAACTTTCTTTACTTATGCTGTGAAGTTAACTCCTAGAATTTCTGAGGATGATTCCTGTGAAGTGTGCATTAGCTCACATATGTAACTGGTTTGTCTTACTCTCCCTTTTCTCTCCTGTTGTGTGGCAAACTTTATTTTATCATGTTGTCTGGGCCTGTAAAGAGCTGGGACTGTAGTTGTTTGTTTTTAAGTATCTGAACAGCCCTGTTAAAACCAAGGGGCTTATTTGCATGCTTAAGCTTGAGATATTTCTAATATGCTTAAAGATTGTGATTTTGTGTGCTGGTTAGTGCAATGGACCTTTTGTCTTCTCCATACAAAGTATCAGTGTATGCCACGTTGTAAAACACCTTACAAATGCATTTATATAATAAAAGTATTTAACTGGATTTAAAAAAAAATACATGCAGAAATGTTATGTTTGGGTAACGTGGTGTAGAGTTACTTTAAAATAAAAACTATAGTTGTGCTTCACAGAAAACAGGTGTATGAAAACACAGTGTGTAGCAATTAAATCTATTTGATGGTAGTTGCTCTCTTGCTCGCAGAGGTAATTTTTAGGAGGAGTATTTGACCATGCTTACAAACTTCCCTTACATATATCCCCTTTTTGATGTTTAGATAATCTGTAAAATGGCTTCTATGTTGAGCAGAACAACAGTTGAGCACATGCTGCTTCCTCGTTTCTGTGAACTGTGCAGTGATGGGAAATTGTTTCAAGTCCGAAAGGTTGGTGTGTTTTCAACCCTAAACCACTCAAAAATTAATTTGTGTGTTGCTTTTCAAATGCCTTCCTGAATAATTTAGTCATAACTTTAGGTGATGAACTTCAAAAGTCTGTAAGAGCAGTTTTAATTAATTAATATGGTTATGGTTTCTGTAGTTCAGTAAAGAAACAGGTACCAGTCCTTGGGGAATAGCTTTGGTGTAGCAGTTAAACTGATCTTGCATATTAAATAGTCTTGCACAACCAGGTGTTATAGCCTTCTAAATAAGCATATAGAATTGGTAAATAGTATATTAACATGGTCTTATCTTAATTGATTTCAGATTTTGACAATGTCTATTTCCAGCAAGAGAGAATGTCCCACTTGCCTTAATTATAGCATTTGTAATGTACTGTAAATGGCATGAACTTGAGACCTTGATTAAACTTTGCTTCAGCAAAGTACTTAAGCCAGTCTCAGCCATAGCAAAGATAGTTCTGTCAGTACACCTAAGTCCTGACCCTTGTATCATATTTTAGTCTGCTTTAGTTTAGACAGCTGCTGTTCAGAGTAATTTAAATTTTCAAGTAGGCTTATTGTCACTTTTAGTGATTACTGAAGTAGCTGATGCTCTTCATGCAGAAACCTTTATTACTATTGATTTCAGAGGCATATGGCTCATGGAAACTTGCTCTAATGAGTCTTTGTTCAGGGTGAGTTAATATTACAGGATGTAGTTACATGGCTGAAATTTGAATAGTCAAACACGTGCAGTTGTTACACAGGATAAATAATGCATGGTGAAGTTCATAATAAAACTAATGGTCTTGAAAGAGCCAGAATATTATTCATGACTTTTTTTATTTCTTAGATTTGTGCAGCTAATTTTGGTGACATTTGTAATGCAGTTGGGCAAGAAGCCACAGAAAGACTGCTGGTATGTAAAAATTAAAATCTATTTACAAGATGGGTATCTCTTACTTCAAAAGGTTTAATAATGAGTTCTTTCATTGTCTTCTCTGTAAATTAATCAGTGTGTCTGCATTTTTTTAAATTGATTTGGCTGAGGCTTTGGTTGCAATTATATCACAAAACTGGGGATGAATAGAAATGCAAAGTTCTTGTTTTGAAAAACATTTTTAGAAATGTAATTGACAGCATATATTTATATGCACACATGAGTGTGCTCTTTAGAATTACTGACTTTTTTTTTTTCTTTTCTCCTCTGAACTAGATGATCAGTCAAGTCACAATTTCAGGGAAAATAGACCATTAATCATTTTTTCTATTCTTCCCTAGTGCATATAGTTATACATAAAATTCTAATGAAATAGGATGGGTGACAGATAGTTTTTCCAATTTCTTCAACTGATATATGCTTTTCACCTGTCCCTGTTTCTTCTGTTCTTCAGTTATTTAATTGTCTTCTGAGTTATCATTGTCTCCAGTTTCCAAACAAATACCTTGGTAACAAGTTGCTATAGTCCTTGTTTAGTCTTTAATTAATTAGTCCTGGTTTTGCTTATTTTTGGCAGATTCCCAAGTTCTTTGAACTCTGTTCTGATAGTGTTTGGGGAATGAGAAAAGCTTGTGCTGAATGCTTTATGGCAGTGTCTTACACCACATCCCCAGAAGTTCGTAGAAGCAAATTATCCCCACTGTTTATCAGTCTTATTAGTGACACTTGCAGATGGGTAAGTAACTCTAATTGGTGCATCTTCCCAGGCAGATTGTACATAAATAATGGGCAACTCAGAAGTGTGCTGTAAAAGTTCTCTAAACTAAATTTGCTGAGGTTAGTCTAATTTACTAAAATCTCATCTCCTCTAATAAGATAGCATCTTGTTTTTTCCTCTCTCTTTTACTACTTAGAATTTCTATCTTTTTTTTTTTAAAATAAGTGTAAGCACTCTTCTGAGAATAGGTTGCTTGTGTTAAAGATATTAGTTGGTGTAGACAGTGATGTCCTACAAATTTATAACTGTTTAGAAGCTTCCTTACAATAATTGTAGATACGTGATTAATATTCTAACACCTTTTGCTTAGTTGTCACTTATTTGGTAATTGATAATTGGATATATTTGGTATTAAATGAAGCTGTTCTAGTAAGAACCAATTGGTTCTTACTAAAAAATGGAACCAAACTTTTATTTTTCAGCATTAACTCTGTGGGAGTTGCATGAATTCTTCCTATTGTCTTTATACTATCACAGGTTCGTCAGGCTGCTTTTCAGTCTCTTGGCCCATTTATCTCTACCTTTGCAAACCCTTCAAGTGCTGGTCTTTACATTCGAGAAGATGGGACACTGAGTATCCGACCATCAATGCAAGATGTGAATTCCAGTTCCTGTCAGCCAAGCAACAATATAACTCTAAAGTCCTCCAGTACAAATGCTACGTTGTCCAGGTAAAATCATGAGAAAGATGTGATGTAGTGGAAGGGAGAAGAAAGAAGATAATTCTTTGTGTTGCTCTTCAGGGCTAAAAATGTCAACTTGAGATATAGTTTCAGAAAAAGCATGAAGAGTGAGATCATACGTGTCTATTTGAGTTGTAGCCACTTTATTGAAAAATGCACAGGAGGGTAAGGGGAAAACTGGTGAAGTGAAGCATAGTGGTAACATGAATTCTGTCTTTCTTCAGAGAACATAAACTTCTCTAGTTGATGCTGTCTTTTATGAAGCATTTCACTGAAAACTGTTGTTACAGAGTACTTCAAGTTTTATTTGGATAACTGTGTGTGTCTGTTACCAGTTCAGAACAACCAATGGAAATCAAACCAGAATCATCAACTGAAGAGACTTCAGCTGAAGTTAATACAAAGCTCTCAGTTGAGAACCTAAATAAAGATACACGGGAAGAAAGTTCAGATTGTTGTACCAATCCCGGAGAAGATGTGTCTCGATTGCCTCAGGGTGACAAAGTTGCTGCTGGTGTCACAGAAGTCACTAAGGACAGCAGTTTTCCTGGAACAAACTCAAGGCTGCAGTCTACTGAGGACGTGTTTAGTACTTTTCTATACTGGCGCCCTCCTCTGCCTGATATAAGTCAGGATCTGGAGTTGCTTCAGTTCAAGACTGAAAAGCACAAAGATAGCTCCTCTATACCATGTAGTAACTGTGTTGCTAGTACTGAAATAAAAAAAGTTCTAGAAACCTTACAGGAACACATAGATGATCCAGACGTTCAAGGTGAGACTCTGTAATAGTAAAATCATGTTTTCTCTGAGCAGATTTTCTCCTGGCCTTTACAAAACCCTCAGCTGCATTTTAATTGGCTTTGGTATTCATAAGGTGATGAGACTTCCTTGAGTAGTAAATTATAGTAGAAAGTTACTCAACAACCTTTAACACCAGCTCAGAGTTATTTTTAGAATAGCCAGGGAAGTGTTCCCAGCTCCTGTTTGCTTGAAATAAATTGGTTCGAACTACAAAAGGGAAAAAAGCTTGTTGAAATTTGTTAAAACTGTTTTTAAGTACTGTAACTGAGTACTGTGGTTTTATTTTGGGAAAGAGCTATCTGTTATCAGCTGAATTAGTCTAATATTTGGTTGAGTGAGAATGGCCCTAATTTCAAGTCATTTTTCCTTAGCCTCCCCATACGAGCCTGCTGATGAACATATTGAAGTGATAATAGCCTGAGAGTGGGGTGCATATGTGTTTCCTGGGCCAAATCCCTCTTGACAACCTGTCATCCATAGTCAACTCGGTTTCTTGTTCCGCTAAGTGAATTAACAGTTTTCATCTGCCTGTTTATTTTTCTCTTCTCTGCATGCAAAGTCATAGCTGCAGCACCATCTGGATTCCATGCTCTAGTAGTAGTGAGCAGTAAGCCAACTGATAGCATATTTAGGTGGCTCCCCATAGCCATTTGGAAAGGTACCAGGAAAATGAAAAATTCCTCACATGTGAGAGGCAAAGGATCAGAAAAAAAAGGGAAAGATTTAGAAGAGGAAGTGGTGAAAAAAATAAAATTTAAAGGAGTAAAAAGAAAAAGTGGAAAATGAAATGAACAAATAAAAGGAGGAAAAAAAGGTGTAAATCAGTTTTGAAAAGGAAGAGAGTAAAAGCCCCGTTATGTAGAACTAGCAAATGGAGAGATGTTAGCTTGGCAGCTATACAGTGAGAAATGAGGGGTTTGGAGAGGTATGGGGGAGAACAATGAAGATTTCTGCCCCCCCTTTAGCCGAAGAGTCTTGCTTCCTTTCTCAGAATAAGGAGATGTGGATGTTAGGTTTTGTTTTCCTCCAGCTCTAACTGCTAAAACACTCATAAATATGTCTGTAATCCATTCTTCTACCTTTTGAAGTTGTCCATTTCCCTTATTTCCAAAGTATTCTAATACTATTCATCTTTAAAATATGCTCTAATGTTTCATCTTAAGAATACTTGCTGTAGGCTTTTGCAGATACAGCTATCTCAAAGTTTCTGCATCCTGAACTCCTAGTAACTTCAGGCTTTTAGCAGCAATGTAGCATAATGTGCAAACATTTGTCTGAACTTTATTGGTGTTACAGTAGTATATATGACCTCTTGTTTTCTATCTGCTTCTGCAAAACAGTTCAGAGATTGTTTGACTAATTCCTTCCTCTGGATAAAATTTTTCTCAGCAGTGTTTTAAATGCACATTGGTGCCTTTTCCAGGCAGTTGAATCAATGGCATAATATAACAAAAGAATTTGTATTAAAATGTTTGACAGTATGAAGAAGGGGAGGTCAGCCAGTATGCTGTGATACCTCACTACAGGGGATTATTAGAAATACCTTTCAGTAGCAGAAAATGGTAGACAGCTGAAAATGTTAACACATCCAAATCATTGCTCTTAATTTATGTGAAGGCTTTGTGGTAGAGTAATGGGCCTTTCCTTTCTAAGAGCAAATGTTTGCTAATATACCATTTCTGTGCAGCTGAGTATGGTTTTCTTTTTATCTTTTCACATTTAACTAATTATAAGTTTAATGCTTTTAAATGTGGAAAGGAGACTAAATAGTGTTCTCTTGCTTTATACAGCTCAGGTCCAAGTGTTGTCTGCTGCTCTCAGAGCTGCTCAGTTTGATTCTGTTGGTGACTGTGAGACCAAAAAAATGGAAGAAAGCAAACTTCAGAACAAAACTATTTCAGATGAAGCACCTGTTTCAGATACTACCTGTGACCAAGTAGAGGAGGACACTCTGTCATCCCCTGCCTCCCAGAATAACATCAGTGACCAGTCTACCACCAGTATACTGAAAAGCACAGTAAGTATGCATTGTGCTCCATGTCTGAAATGAATTCTTACCTGCTTTAGTACTGCGTGTGTTCACGTAGCCCTGGCATAGTTGACCCACTTCTGATCTTAAGCCTTTGAACATTGCTACACCGTAAGTATCACAGGCTACTTACTTTAATTAAAAAAAGAAAAATAAAGACTTAAATAAACTTGCACACAAATTACCTAAGAGTTAAATTTTTGCAGTAGTCTTGTATGTTTGGAGTTTTGGTTTTTGGGTTGGTTTTTTTTTTTCAGATGAAATGTACCAAGTACATTCTTGCCTCATCCTGTAATGAATCTAAAATTAGTCTTTTATCTCTAGACAGGAGGCTGAATCAGGTGGTGACAGATACACAGTTCCTGGTTACTATTTCTTGATTATATAGGAGTAAAAATAATTGTTTGTACAGTATTTAATGTTGCTGGAGCCAATTCTGAATTATAAAGAAAAACTCTCCTTGTCTGTGAACAAAAATTGCACATCAAATCTGTACAAACAAAAATGTAAAATACTGTATGAACTTCTGAACTTTTAATGGTTTTGGTCTCTTGAAAGTTTGAATTCTTTCAAAGGTGGGTTTTTTGATTTCGGTTGGGGTTTTTTGATTGGTTTTGTTTTGGTTTTTTTTCCCTGATACTGGGAGAGAAGTATGTGCTTCATAATTTGGTGGGCTTGGGAGTTTCCAGCAGTATGTTCTAAAATAAGTAAAGCATTTATCGTGATATTGACTGACTTGGAGCAACTGCTAAGCTGTTTTGTTTAACATAATTTAAATTCATGCCAAGAAGAAAAACTATTTAAGAGTATAGTAAAAGTAACCACTCCAAATCTGTATGAATGTTGAGTTTATTGTGTTCAATTAGATTGCTTTTCCAAAAAGTAAATCTAACTACTGTTCCCCTCGTTGCTGCTATGGTCTTAAATAGTGTATGTCTAAGTGTACAACTCTGGTCTTTTTGTACTTGTATAAACACACTGAATAAGGCTTTGCCTGTACAAGACTTTGTCTGTAAAAGGCTATTCTGTATCAGAATTACTTTGTTCTGTAGTGTGATGCTTTGAAATATCCCAAACAGCAGTAAGTCTGACTCATTTCACTAGCTAGTACGTCCTTTTACAGGACTCGGAGGAACAACACAGAGGAACCAGTGTATTTTTAAAGAAAGAGGAAGAAAATAATCCACCATTTGAAGATGACAAGTCAAAATTACAGGTGATTAAAATAGCATCTAACGGCTTCAGCGATATACTGGATACAGTTCATCTTATCCTTAATACAGTGATAGCTTTTGCAATTGATTAGTTGCAGAATGTGAAGTGCTCTGGGCATTTGAGGAGAATTCTCTTCTAATTTGGAAAGCTAGAAAAATTCTGTTGCCTTTTTGGTACTTCAGGGGCAGTCTGTGCAACCAGGATAGGCACTGACTATAGTTTTGTCGCTGGATTTACTGTTTGTATTGAGCAAAGAAGAAATTTTCAGTTTGGTTTTACTTGATGAAGTAATAATTACTGTTCATTACTGACTACTGTATCTTAATGAGAAGACAAATAATTATAGGGGTCATTTACACTTTGTAAAGCTAGCCCACAAAAGGAGCATCTTGCCACTGTTGGTGTTTTGCTGCTAGCTGGCTGGTAGCAAGAGAATACTGGTGCACAACAGGTATATTTTCTTTCTGATCTTAAAGTGTGTGTTGCTGATGTACTGTCTCTATCTATAGGATATCATACCTCAACCTTTATTAGACCAGTACTTGTCAATGACTGACCCAGCTCGAGCCCAGACTGTTGATACTGAAATAGCCAAACACTGTGCGTATAGCCTTCCTGGGGTGGCTTTAACACTGGGCAGACAGAATTGGCACTGCCTCAAAGACACATATGAGACGCTGGCCTCAGATGTACAGGTAAAAAAAAAAGTTTTTAAGTAATAAATCAGAATTTTGAGTTTGTTGAACTGAAGTTACAACATCTTATACAGGATTAAATGTGTGCTAAAAATATAAAATTCAAGATTTAAATCAGACTTCATAAATAAGATTAACATTTTTCTAATGCTGTGTAACTAGCCCTGTTTCTTCTGCTCTCAGTCCTCACACAGGTGTAGTTCAAAAACTGCTTTATTTTAGTTATGGTGCCTAATCTAGTTCATCTCTTAAACTGTTTGCAGTGGAAGGTACGTCGGACACTAGCTTTCTCCATACATGAACTAGCAGTTATTCTGGGGGATCAGCTAACAGCTGCTGATCTGGTGCCAATTTTCAATGGATTCTTGAAAGATCTGGATGAAGTGCGTATTGGTGTCCTTAAACATCTGTATGACTTTCTAAAGGTAGGAAAGTGTAATTTAATTTCTCAAGATACAATTTTTTTTTTTTGGATTCTGATATTGAGAGGTTTTTTAATGAGATGTGCAGATACCAGTATCTCATTGCATGCTTAGTTTTGTGCAATACTGCCATTTTGTGTATCTGTTGCTTTTTTTAAGGTTCCTCACTTCTCTTCTGTCTCATGTCCCAACAAAACATCAAAACTGAAAACCCTTTGTAAATGTGGTTGTAAATGCTCCTGGCTGTTGTAAAGGAATTAGTATTTTCTACAGTCCAGGTGGAAGGTTGGACCATTAGCAATTTGTATTTGGGGCTGTGAGAGAAGAGAACAGATCCTGATGGGCTGCTACATAATAAACACAAATCCTTAGTTTTTGGTTGTTCAGTCCTATGCCCAGAGATGGTGCTTTGATGGGTGTCCTGGCAGAAGTGATGACTTAATGTGCTTTTTTGGATGTCAGTCCTGTGTGTCCAGGCACTCAGCTGGTTGTGCACAATTTTCAGTAAGCATCTTTGGAATGATCACTTGCTTTCAATTAGGAAAATGCACATAGGTGTGAATAGAGTACTGCAGCAGAGAACTGCAAGTGTTGAATTTTATCAGTTTTATACTAGTAATGTTTTTCCTCTAGTTACTTCATGCAGACAAAAGGCGAGAGTATCTTTACCAACTTCAAGAATTTGTGGTGACTGATAACAGCAGGAACTGGAGGTTTCGTTACGAGCTGGCAGAGTATGTAATTTTGTTAACTTCTGATTTTTAATCTGTGTTACTAATTTGGAAATAGATAACTACATTCAGAAGCTACTGCACTCTAGTTAGGAGATAAAAGATGACAACCATCCTTTATTAAAGAACTGAAATAAAAGCCACTGTCTGTTGGGGGTGGGATGGTTTTTTGGTTGGTTTTGGGGGGGCTTTTTTGGCAAGTTGTGTTGTAATCAGGTGTGACTGAAATGTAAATGTCTGTGATTATACCAACATGGAGATCTGGTTTGCTTGCAGTTTATGAAACATGAAAATCTGATAGATACTACTCAGTGAGCTTTCAGCTCTTACTCAGTTCTAGATTGCCTTGTAAAAATCAGTGAAATATATGTACAAAGTAACTTTTCTACTGTGTATGAAAGAAAAAACAGTTCTTAAAAAAATTATTTGGTATTTCCATATGACTGGATGTGTGATGGAGATAAAATAACATCCCACACTTCTTTTTCTACAAGCACTGTTAATATTTGAAGCACTGAAAAAGTGTTTGTATGCATCGCTTGTGGCTAAAATCTGACCTTTGTGTTTATCTCTTTGCTTTGGTTGGGCTATTGAGGATTTACTCTCCCTTCGTAGTTTGGCAAACAACCTACATCTCACTGCTGTGCGAGAATGTTTAACAGCAGATCCTGACACCTAGTGCAGAGCTGCCACTTTGTGGTTGGTTTGTGCATGGCTGCCAGTAACATACTGGCAGGGGTGTGACTAGAATGAGATCTGTGCAGTTCCTATATATAAACCATTTTCTGAAATGTAGATTTCTACACCAAAGTAATTTTTAATTTTTTTTTTACTTCACAAGAACACACAGGATATTGGTCAGAAGTTGCAAAAAAACTTCTCATTGTATTTTTGTTTGTAGCTTTTGTTATTATTTAGGATAATTTTGATTCATTGGTATATCTAGTCTGGATAAAAGTTTCTCTTGGCCTCCTGAATGAATTATAGCATGTACCTCTTCAATATTCGTGTACCTTTACGAAGTAGAGAGAAGAACAAACTGTTCAAGTGCTTTATAATAACCATGGGGTTTTTTTGAGGCTCCAAACAATCCTTAAATATATTTAATAGATGATACAATTGGAGCAGATTATTGCTGCACTTGCTAGAGTTAATCACTTCCTTTGTGTTTCAGGCAGCTGATCCTGATATTGGAACTCTATAATCCCAATGATGTCTATGACTACCTAAGACATATTGCACTAACTCTCTGCTCCGATAAAGTTTCAGAAGTTCGGTGGATCTCCTTCAAACTGGTAGGGGATTTAGTTCACTTCCTGGCAGGAGAGGAGGAAAATTATCCTTGAGAGGGATACCTGAAATCACTTTGCTTTCTTTCAGACAAGTAGGGTGAATACAGATATGTTTCAATAAACATGGTAAAAAATAGGGAAAAAGGTGAAATGAAAAGTCTATAAAATATTTTGAGTTGTCAGACTTCCACAGATATTAAAATCTTTCTCTGTTGGTTGTATATGAATGATAAATGTATTTTCAATTGAATTCAAACCATGATATAGAAGATTTGGGAGACCTTCTCCCAGTTCTGGGAGGAAAAAAAAAGTTACTGATCTTTCCTCAAAGTTGATTTAATTTGTTATGAGCTTCATGATAATGCCATCACACCATAGATGTCCTGAATGAGTAGAAAGATTCCTTTACTTCTTTTTCTTCATGGCACCATGGAAAGGGGTGTTATTTTAAAAGTTGTTTTAATTTTTTTTGTTTGTTTCACCTGAACAAACAGCTTTTTAAAGCTTATGCTTTCTTTTCTCCAGAATAAGCACAGTAATATATTACATGCTGCAGGCACAGCTGATTACACTGGATACAGTTTTTGGTCTTCCTTTGTAGGATTCAAATAAAATTATGCATTTTCTGAGGGCTACAAGTTAAGTCTCATCTTTTTTCCCCCCTCCTTTTCCCCTTCCACCTTCCTTCTCTTCACAGGTTGTAGCAATACTACAGAAGTTCTACGCAAACAATGCAAATGCACTGGGATTAAATTTCATTAATGAACTTGTAGTGCGGTTTCGACACAGCTCCAAGTGGGTTGGAAGACAAGCTTTTGCCTTCATTTGTCAGGTTGGAATGTTCTCTCTCTCTATTTCTATGTGTACATTTATCTTAGAGCCAGTTTGAGGCTTTTCAGCAATGTGGGCAAAACTGAAATTTGGACTCTATTATTTTTTTTTTAATAATTCTTTGGGTTCTGTGATTTTTGGGTTGACAAAAGATGGTGACATAGTTGGTCTAATCTCAGTAGTAGCGTATAGCTATCCAGTTTCAAAGCTTTGTTCTGTGTCTCCAGGTGAAATAACTGATCCCTTGTACTTTATGGTATCCCAGTAGCTAAGTCAGGTATTAAGTCCTAAATGGAGATGTGTTTTGTAATACTTTGACATGCCAGGATAAAGGTTCACAAGATCTCTTCAAACTACCAATGGATGCTTGATGCCTAGAACTGTTTTGCTCTTTCTTTCTGCTCATTTATCCCCTTCCCAACCAAAAAAGCTTACTTCACTAGCAGTGAGAAGCAAGGGTTGGATGTTGAAAGGCAAAAGGGTGATGACAGGCAAGAGAGCAGTATTTCCTAGAGTACAATTGAAAGAAAGTTGTCTGCTCTCGGGTCATCTTCAGATGAACTTGAGAACAGTAAGGTGCGTTTTCATAACGGTATTTCAGAGGTTGTACTTGTTTCACCAACATAGGATGTATTTGTTCAGAATTAAACACTGTCTTTTTTTAATAGTCAGGCCAAATTAAGGACAAGCTGGAAAGGAGCAGCAAATACTGTATTTTTAACATGAATCTTGCTTTCTTGTGTTCTGTGTTTGTTCTGTAGGCTGTAGTAGAAGAAGAATGTATGCCTGTCGACCAGTTTGTTGAACACTTACTCCCCAGTCTTTTAAGTCTTGCTTCAGATCCTGTGCCAAATGTAAGGGTGCTGCTCGCCAAGGCTCTAAGGCAGACGCTGTTGGAGAAAGGTGTGGTCATTCATTTCCTTTGGCAGAACTAACCTCTCCCAAATCTGTCTTTCCCAGTGCAGTTCTCTATGAATTGGCTCAGCTGGTAAAAGACTGTTTGGTTCTGTTTATACTGAAAGGAGAATTATACCGTGTAGTCTGGGATACTGCATTTAAATTCAGATTTAGGAATATCGATTTAGGAATGTATAGTGTAGGGGTTTTTCTGTCGTGGGATAGTTGATCATCCAGGGCCCGAGCCTGGCCCGGCTGCTCTGACCCATGTCGTGCGTCGTGCACTAGAGGGCAGTGACACTCTGGTCACAGCAAGTGCTGCTGCCCCTGGGGTGTTATTTTTGGTGTCTGTGATGTCTGTGGCAAACCGATCTTTCTTAAACATCACGTTAGATTATTTTTATAGATTTCAAAGATTAGTGTTAATGAACGAGTCGTTTCTGGGGTCCTTCAGATGAAGTGTTAGGCCTTTCTCTGAAATGGTTTGCTTTGCTGCTTTAGTCTTAAGCTAACAGTTGTACTAGGAAAGAACATAATTTTGTATGCTGCTACAATGTCCTTTATTACAATTCCTTAAAAAAACCCTCAAAAAAATCAGCTGATCTCTGATTATTCAAGGAAGATGCACAGAAATATACCCTCCTGTATTTTTGCAGAATAAAGTATGGAGAATGTTTTGTAAAGCATTGTACAGTAGCACCTTCCTGAGATTGCTCTTACTTGCTGATACATTTCTATTGAGGGCTCAGCAAAATAAAATTTCTCTTAAAAATACTTGGGTGCCTGATCAGATGAGTAAGCAGCAGCATGTTTCTAGTTCTCTGTCAGCTTCCTTAGCTTGCTGTAGTTTCTCTAAGGAGCCAGGTGTTTTTAGCACTCTCTGTATTTCTGCACTGCTTACACCCAGGGTTTATTCTTTTGTCTTTGACAAAAATTATCCTTTTCTCCCATTATTCTAGCTTACTTTAAAAGTGTTGGCAATCCTCATCTAGAAGCTGCAGAAGAGACCATTCTAGCCCTGCAATCTGACAGAGATCAAGATGTGTCCTTCTTTGCCACCATAAAACTAAACCAGGGTAACGTGGACAATACTACCATTGAAAAACATAACTAATATGTTGTTCTGCAGTAAACACTGAGCATCAGAATGGTTATTCACTTTATGGTTGCGGTTAGTATGAATAATGTGGACAAATAAGAAGGTTTTTGTTACCTACTTGAGCTGGAAAGGGTCTGTGGAGAGATGTTACAATGTTCATTTCATGATGACCTTTCATCTACAGCTGTGTTTTTCAGTCTGGTAATTCCTTTCATTTTTTTCTTTGTAAACGTGGGTGATAACTCTGATCTCACCTGCTTAACCTGCAGTTAAGTATTGTATGTGAAGTCTTACACCATACTCAGTGTTTCCATTTAATTGCAACTCACATTTCATTTTTTAACAAAACATTTCCAGCAGTAGAGTGGTCTGCTATAAGCTTAAAATGGTTTCTAAATCTTAAAAGCTGATTATAGCAAAGTTACATGAAGATATTATTTCCTCACTTCTGTTGTAGTTTTTGTATTGTTTCAAGTGTTGAGTTTTAACTGAAAAAAGTGTATATATGTGAATAGTTTTGAATTTTAACAAAAAAAGGATGAAGAACTTAATTCAGTATCAGTGGAAAAAAAGCTCAAAAATAATTTCACTTTATAAAGTAGTTGCTAGAATTAAAGCATGGTTCATTTTTACTTAATATAATGTGATATTTTTCAAAGCACAGAGAGCTCAAGATTCTTTGTATATTGTGACTCTCCTATTAATTTGCTATTTCTGAACTATACCCTTACAGGGGTTAACATGTCTGTTACAGTTACTGCTGGCTCTGGTGGTGGTAGGTAGGCTGTTAATTTCCCAAACTGAAAATGATTCCTTCTGCCCTAGTGAAGTTCACTTCATTTAAGGGATTCAGTTCCTGTGTTGTATCTGTAGAAGGGTATTACAGAATTTTACAGACTTATTTTTTGTTTGTTTGGGTTTTTTACATATGTTATTTGAAAAACTCCTTTTAACTGGTCCAACATTCAAAACCTGACGTTCAAATCCCAAACAGCCTGCTACTGTGTTCCTAAGAAACAAAAGAACTCTAAATTCTGAAAAACCTCAAATAACAAATGTTCAGGGGAAAGGTGTTGACACAGTTTCCTCTGTAACTTCTGTGGATTGTATGGTAAGGTTTGGGGCAAACAATAAGTGAAGGTTCCCGAGATCCTTAAGCTTAAGTAGGATGTCTTCTGTATATTTGAACAGGTGTTTTGGAAGAAAGACAGAATATACAGATAGAACAAATATTTCTGTTAAGAAAACTAGGTAGCTTCTGACCAGTTTGAAAAAATCATAAAGCTAATATTTTTTGGTGGATCTTGTCTTCTGTTGTGTCCCAAATCTGCAGAGAGTGTGGGGCCTGAAAAAAAGAAAGTCTGTCGTTTGTTTGTTTTATTTTACATTGTGGATTGGAACTTTGTCCTGTTCAAAAACTAGTGGTTAAATACTAAAGAAATGGCTTCATGCAATAAGTTACTTTCTTTCTGGGATCACAATACTTTATCCTAAGTAGTCCTGTTAAGTGTTTCCCCTTATTTCACTGTTACGCTAGTAAGTAATTCACATTGGTGGAGGTTTTTACAGAAATCAGTTTTTTCTTTTTTGTTTTGTTTTAATTCTGGCTTGTCTGCAATACAGCAAGTAGGTTCCTCAGCTGGGTTCTGTATTTTTGGAGGGCTCAGTTTTGTATAAGTTTAACTAGTCGTGTATTATAATATGTACAGTATTTGTAACAAATTGTTTTCTTGTGAGATCACAAAATGCTTTTTGGAAGTTGCAGGCAGAAATATACCACTGCTATCACTGCTATTACAGCAAATAGTATCGACTCTGTAAGCCCTGCAACGTTCTACATTTAATTTTTTACAATTTTTTTATAATTTAAAACAAATGCTTCTTCAGTATGGACTTTTTATGATTGCAATTTCTTAACAAAAAGACCCTCAAGTTAATTTTTTCTAGTTCTAATATCTTTTTCTAATGCTGGCATTATATTGGTATTTTCTAACAGTTCAAATTTTCTAGGACCTTTCTGACAAGGTTTTACTTCTGTTTTTTATCATCAGTTCATTGAATTTCTCAGCACTGAACAATTTTTTTAGAGTGTGTGTATATGTAAGTATGTTTGAAATGTACTGTATATAAATTAAATACTTTGAACATTAACCCAATCCAGGTTTCTGTTTGTCAGATAATCTTAAATAGTTACCTTTACTTGCAATAATCCACTGGAAAACACAAGCTTCCTTATGTTTTATCATGTTTGGTTGGTGTTCACTACGAGTTTTTAATGAGGATATGTGTAGACAGTAAGCCACCAGCTATAAAAGTTCACTGAACGGCTAAACAAAGTTTTGTTCTTAACAATATTTGGTACCTCTCTGGCTCCAGAAATTTTCTCTGTTTTAGCTGATATGATTTCAGTAGAGCATTTAAAAACTTTTGTTAAAACTCTACAGTTGCATGCACTAATGGGGGACATCATAGTTTTGGGGTGGGGTTTTTTTTTGTAGACAATGTGCAGGTCTATTGAAAAGATTTACCCTCTACAGAGTTTGTCTTTTTGGTTTGGTTTTAAACTAGAAATGATTTCAGCATGACTAAAGACCGCACTTTACGTCTTGTACTAGACAAATGTATGCAATGGTGAGTAAAGCGGTGTGTTCACGTACAATTCTCTGGGTTGTTTAAATTATGCAAAAAGTATGTATTTTAAAAGGCAGGTGGAGCAAAGTTAGCTAGTTGATCCACTTTCACAACAGCAGTAAGAATACCACTTCTAAACATTTCTAGCTAAGGAACATGAAAATAACGTTAGTGGGTGCAATATTGCTTGGATGCCATAGGAAATGATCAAGCACTTGTAATCCAAAGCATGTTAGTCATGTTGCTTAGATCTCAGACTCGCTGGTATCTTGTGTGTGGCATACACGTGGCATCGGTGAGGATGCCGCCTTCGTGGCGGTTCGGTCTGTACACAGTGTTGTTTAGTACCCAGTTAAGTGGGGACACTCTGGAAGTGTCATTCATTTGTCAGAATAGAGAATCTATGTAACTTTCTATTTGTATTTATCTCAATAAATCCTGTGACTTTTATAAACCAATTTGTGGTAACTGACTTTTGTCATGAGTGGGATGTGAGTGTATTCTTTTGGTTAATGAAACATCTCCGTAGTGTAAACACTGTCATCTGTCAAACCAGGGTTCAGTGTGGAATTCATCCTGTTGTGTAGTGAAAAATCCATTAGATATCCAGAGATTTGAAGGAGCTCTTCCTGTGCTTTTTCCTTGAAGTGAGCATGGCAAAAGTGCTCTGAAACTAAAATCATTCTGTCAGAACTGAAACTCTAACAAGGTATGTTTTAAATGAAGAGAACTTGTGTGTGCTGGGTGAGACTGGCTTTCAAGTCTTTATTTTAAATCCTTCCCTTTCCACACTTCAGCCTGGAGGGGCATCCTGGACTGGTGGGTTTTTTCAGTGTGGTGTTGCTCTTGGACATCCTACATTAATGAATGCTGTGTAGTTGCTAGGCCTTGGGGAGTTGGGGGTGGGAATGAATAATCAACACCTGGGTGGTTGGTTTTGTTTCTTATTTCAGCAGTCTTCTGTATCTTCCTCTGCTGCAGTCCCCCTTTTGGCCATTTAGATGCTCACTGGCTGCTCCATCCTGTGCTATAGAACTTCTGCCAACTGCTGCAAGAGAGTATCTGACCTTCCCTCTCGTCTGCAGGATTTAGCTGGTGCAAAAGTGAGGATGAACAGTACCTGCACTCCCGGTAAAGCCTACCCACGTGCTCCAAGCTAGGGCACAACAACCCTATGGAGTAAACTGGAAACACTAATTAAACAGCTGTACAATCTTCTCATTAGATGTTAGACTAAACGTGTAGATTGACATCTAGACTTTAACAAAGAAAACAACATAAAATACAGGCAACTCTGGGTATTTACCCAAGTTACTACTTTGTTTCTCTACTGCTGGTCTTCCAAGTAAGTTTATGTCATCCTAGTGAAAATCAAAAGACAGGCAGGAGCAGAAATCTTTCTGTAATCACTCTGGTGCATTGCTTTCTGTAGTATTCCCTGCTGGGTTTGTCTAGGCTGTTACATCACACTGTACTTCTCTGATGTCAGTTTATGCTGCTTGGATACTGTAACGTGCTCATGATACACAGGGGGATCTATACATGGGGGGTTTTGATGATACAAGGGGAATGGGAGGGAGGAATTACTACCAGATCTAAACCCCTGTACTTACAGGGGTCCAAGATTCCAAGCTTTGTCTAAGAGGCAAATCTCACCCACTTCTAGTCAGGAACCAGTTCATCACCATGCCTTTCCAGCGCCCGCCGACCTTTACTGTCCAGCTCTGGCTGGCTGAGACTAATGAGATCTTTTCACTGCCTCAGTGCCAAAATGACTTAACTCTGAAGAAGCTCAAGTCCCATTTAGAATTGTTGACTGGGATCCCCCTTCACTTCCAGCGGCTTCAGTACCTGGATGAAGGTGAGAACTTGTAACCTCTGGGATTCTTGAAGAGTATTTGTAGTACCTCTTACCTGTTAGTTCATTTCAGTCCTGGATGAAAGTCACTTGGAATTCAGCTCTTGACTTAACGCTTAACTTTGTTTCCTTCTCCTTAAAGATAATGGTCTACTCAACATGGTCTCTAGGTTAAAGATTGCAAACACTGACCTCTGTGTTCCTGCTTAGCTTTGTCAACAGCCAATGTCAGTACCTGGCTGGTTCACCTCGGCCTAGAACAGCTCTAGCGAGGCTCTGGCTGACCCCTCTGCAGTTAAATTGTGTGGAGCAGTGTTTTTTTCCTATTACTTCAGCTGAACGTGTGGTGTTGGGTGTTGGAGTACTTGGCTTTGGGGGTTACAAGAACAGGTAGTCGTTGAAACTTGCTTAGACCTGCTAGTTAAAACAAAATAACTTCCTATTATTTGCTTTTTCAGATCAAACTTGGAGGTTTCTTTTTAGAATAAAGACACCATGTGTGTATGGATACACCCAAGTATGTTCCTCCTACAGTGTTGGTACTTCACATACTACCTGCAGCTTTCTGTGGGTTACAACCATATTATCCCAAGCGCACTGTGTTGTAGCTTTTTCTGGGCTGGGGGTGTATCTGCCTTTTCATAGCTCTAGCACAACGGGACCCAGGGTGTCCTTGAGGCGTTATGACAGTCAAGGAGAACACCAGGATGGCTAAATAACTCAGTCACCACCTAACTTTTGTTTTTAAGCTGGTCTTTGTCTTCTCTGAGGATATGTTGACTTGCTTTATATTGACTTGCTTTGCTTTTCTAACTCCCTACAGCAGATCTGGCTGACGAGTCTACGTTTGAGGACAATGATATTGTCCCTGGTGGAAGGATTACAATGCGCATCTGGCAACAAGATGGCTGGGGGCATCTTGTGGCAGCTGCTGCACAAAGAGATACTATGAAGGTTCATTTCATTATTTCTGTGCATGGGTGGGATACTGTGTGTGGAAAAGCTAAAAGCCTCTTGCTGAAGGTCTAAGTGCTTTATAAAGCAAGACTTCATAGAGCAGCCAGTGGGGAAGTCTTCAATGGAAGAGACTTGCTATAGAAATGAAGTAGTCTAGAGGTACTGACACAGTTCACAATAAAAATGGTAATTTTGAGGGGGCTGGTAATCCACAACCAGTGAGTCAATCCCTAATGCAGTCTGTTGAATTCAGAAATAAGACAACCTTTTGTTAACTAGTACCTTGGGAGTGCAAGTTCTGTTCACTCTCTGTTCACTATCTTAACTTTTTGTAGCACTGATGTGAGTATACTTTCAGGTTACTTTTCTTGTCTCTGCTTATCCTCATGTCTGAAAAATGTTTGCATTTTTTATTCAGTTACCTGCCATTTTACCCTTCTGATGTCTTCTCACCGAAAAGATACTTAATTCCACTGTATTTCATATAGATAGGAGAAATAATGCATAGTGTCTAAACAAGGCCTTTTTCTTGGTTATCCTAGAACATCATTAGGAGATTGAGATTCTCTGTTCCTGGGTATGCTGGTGAGGCTGAGTTACTCTGTTATTATGAGAATCAGAGGCAGAAACTCTCTGTTTCAGAGTCCATCCTCCTCTGGCCATACTGCCCCCAGAGTAAGAATGGGACTCGATACGTGACAGTACCGAAATCAAGAATCAGAAGACATTCCCTGTCTCATCCACTTTATCTGGTGTTACTTTATGGACCATCTTGAGTTTACGATCCCGTCAAGTCTCATTAGTAAGGAAGCTTTGATTTTTATAAAAACAAATGTTTCTGTGGCGCTCTGATGGAGGGCATGCTGCTCTCTTGATTTAGGACTGAAATGTTGTCTCAGCAGAAACACAAGGTGCTCCAGCTGATTTATACTGTAAACCTTCAGGCCTGAGCGGATGTGGTCATGAAATATCCTTTGGCACCTTTTGTAAAGAATCATTATCTCCATTGCCCTGGCCAAATTCCAACCTGGCTAATCACATTGTGTTCCTCTGCATTTCCTCAACCACTGCAAACGGATACGGCAGGGTTCTGCACTTGCTTTTGTGAACTGTTGCATTGTGTTGCAGCTCATTGGCAAGCAGCTGTTCTGTCTCCTGAACCAAATTGCTTGTGTTTTCCTATTGGGTAAACTGGGTTTTGTAGGATTTGGGTTTGTTTTTTTTTCCCCCCCTCAGTGTTTTGTGTATTAAAGATCTCGGTGGAGAGTAGGAAACAGAAAGCTGTGCCACAAAGACAAATGGTCTCCTTTGAAATGAAAGGTATTGGCATAAGAGCTCCACAAAAAGCTTGGTGACACTGTTGATTTTCAAATGAAAGAAAAAAACAAAACCCTACTTTTATAAGAAATAACTGTACAGCTGTTCTAGTAATGTGCTTCCACTTACTAGATGAGAAAACCATGGTGCATTGTGGAAGATGTAGCCCAACATGGAAATAGCTTCTCAGGAAGCACAGCAGCATGAGGCACCTGAAAATTGTTCCTAAGAGGCCTCTCGGCAACACTTCAGAACTGATGTTTTTGGCTTCATTACCAAAAAAACCTCCTTCTGGCAATGAATGTGATACAGGACTGTTTCCTGAGGCAGCTTAGGTTTATGAGTTGCCTGCTGGAATTAGGGCCCAAAGTCTCACCTGCCTCCTGAGGAACCTGGGCTTATGTGGCCAACACTGTCTGTCTCTGTCTTTCACAAAAAACTCAGGTCAGTTTCCAACAAATTTAAGAGGACAAGGGTTGCAAAGATAAACAGTTACTGTAAGATTTTGTGAAGCTTAATAACTACATACAAAAGGAGAACCCAAATTAATGTTCCTTCCAACAAATAATGTGAATAAATATTAGATAGCAGAGGATCAGGATGAGGCAGAAGCATAAGAAACAAGCAGGTATTATTGACCTGATCTTGGAGTGATTTATGCAGTGCGCAGGCATCCCTAAGTACGGATATGAGACTTTCTTGATACCTAAAAAGAATCAGAGTACTCTTTTGAAAGAGATTAAAAGGTTTGTGTTTATTCTGCAGCTAGCCTGCCTGGGAGTTACAGAGGACTCCACGAGCACCACGCCGTATGCAGAGGTACTGGGACCACAGCAGAAAAAGGAACGGGTAGCACATCGCGCTTTCGTGGCACTGTTTGTTGCCAGCCACAGAGGTCACGTTGAAACTGTCAGGTTTCTCCTGAGACATGGTAATATTCTTAGATAGAACAATTCTTCTCTGGCTGTAGCTGCACAGCATACCACCCTCCTGCTTACCCAGGCCATAGAAATGTACCCAAATGGCCTCACATGTTTTGTCTTTGAGGTGGAGAATGTGTTCAGCCCATCGTTTCTGATGTAGACTTGGAGACAATAAAAACTGACCCTTGGTGTTAGAGAAATTCATATTGGAAAATAGGATTTCTGATTTTTTTTTTTTTACTTCCCTATTTGAGTCTCATTTATTTATTGCTATTTTCTTATTAACTAGAAATGCTTAGTTTTTATCAGTCCTGTGCAGCACTTTATCACTGTGAGATGTAAGGAGAGTTGTAAGCACTAGTTCTATGGCTCTGACATTTTGGAGTTTTGTTGCTTTGCAACTCAATAAGCTGCCTTTCCCCAGAAATCTGTGTTTTCACAATGGACAGTCCTCTGGGTCAGCTGAAGTCACTGCATTGTCCTGAATGAAGGGATATTTGTTAATGAGAAGACATTTGTTAATGAAAAGACAATTTATTAATCGCTTTTTTTTATCATTGAAAGTGAGTTCTGAGGGGAAATCCCACCTTGTCTGAAGAAGTTCCCTTCAGGTTCTTGTCTCTGAGCCCCCTCCGAGTTTGTCCCTGTTAAAGCATGGTGTTGTCCTCTCCCAGTGAGAGCTCTGTGCAAATGTAATGGCAATGCCTGGCTGCAGCAATGCCAGCGATGCCCCCAAATGGAACAAAGCACGTTGTGTGTGAGCTGAGGGCAGGAGCATTTGTTCACTAGACAGGTTTATTAATTCCACTGATTGGATGTGACTAAAACAAACTGCATCTGCCTTCAGAAAATAAATGTGCATTCTGGCCCGCAGGTGGCATTGCCTCCTTTCATATGCCGTGCCACTCTTGGACTGTGTTTGACTTTTTGCAGGTGTGGATTTGCATGCTAAGACCCCGCTGGGAAGGACGGCCCTTCACGTCGCTGCTGTCACGGGCCAGCGCGACTGCATCAAGCTGCTCCTTAGCTACGGGGCACGAGCTCTTGACCCCGACAGCGAGGGACAAACTGCGGTGAGCCTTGCCCGCCTGTGGGGCCAGAAGCAGAGTGAACACACCATGGTTCACTTCCAGAGGAGGAAGAAATTCCCTGGCACTGTGCCACCTGCCCGCGCTGTCAGTCGGGCCTTGCAGCAGACATCTGGTCCCACGTCCTAAAATAAATACGGACTAACTGGGTTCTGGCAAATTTCGAGGGACAGTCAGTAACTTTCCCGGAGACCCACACTTCAAATATAGGTCACTGGGTGGGATTTGGGGGTTTTAGTTATGAAATAAGCTCATGTACTGGTGATGCTGCAGCAAAGATGACAACTAGCTTGACAGCACGGCTCTCAAACACACTCTTAATTTGTAGCTTAAGTATTTATAATACAGTTCCCCAGCCAAACTGGCCATTTAGTTAATATGGTTTTGCAGGAGAGCTGGGGCCTGTCTGCAAGTTCTCTTTGGCATGCTCCTTGCCTGGGTAATTTCCTAATGGTTGGCACCAGGCCAGGGCGATACAGTTTAATGGGTATTTCAGGGGACTGGAAATCCCTGGATCTTTAATCCAGTTCTGGCCCTGGCTGGCCACTGCCAGATCAGTTAAGGGTTGTTTTGTGTGTAGAGCAGTTTGTCTGCAGTGGGAGGGTGCGAGCAAAGTTGATGTGCTTGTAAGTAGCTAATTATAATTGCCCAGTGCTTCTTAGTGCCTCCAACATTTTAAGCCTCAGAGCTCTGAAGGCTGAGGTTTCCTGAAGCCAGTGATGGGGTGAAGGGACCTGCCCATCTGCTTTCAAAGTTTCTTAGTATCCCAGATTCCTTAGGTGCTTAAAAAATAAAAATACTACTTACAGTCTCTTTATGTCTATAGGATGAGTAGGAGGAAGCTGGGCTTCTGGTCTGTTTTCTGAGAGCTTATTAGGGACTCAGTGCTCAATCTTGAACAGTTGCTTTGCTTAAAGAGACATTTTTCCAGAGAGCTCAGCCCTTAACTTCCAACTGACAGCAGAAGAGGTGGTTCTCGGTGGGAACTGAGCGCTCCTGAGAGCGTGGCCCACTGCCTTTTTGCTTGCAAAGCCCCACGCACATCCTGGAGACTCCACAAATAACTAACGTGAGTTGTTCATCTTCCCTTGTGTTCAGAGCATTTTCTTTAACTGATACCAGCATTGCTACATAAATATCCAGGTAAGCAGTGAATTTGGGCCTCAGTTTGTGTTCCAGGTAAGTGCCTGGGCGTAGCCATGTCCAGAATTTGATAGAAATCAGCATCCTGTGGTGCAGCACTGTGTTTTACGAGTAGGTGAAATGGGGATCAGACAGATGCTGGCTGTGAATTTGGATACCTTTAGTTTATATCCCTTCAGGGAGAGATTGTGGCTAATGCTGTGGACTAAGAATTGACTGGAATGCTCTCCTCCCAGCTTTGCTGAGGCTCTGGATTCCTGAGATCCATGCTCAGCTCTGCCACTGCTTCATGTCTGATCTTGAGAACCTGATTTCTGTCTTGTATAGTATCACAAATCCCTGTGAATGTCGCTTCTCTGGTGCAGTGGTGTGCAAAGGTCTGCTCTCGAAGGGAAGCTGTAATAACCTTTTCAAAGAAAGGAAACGCAAGTAAGATTTGTGTGTTTTGCATTGGAACCTTTACTTTCTCTTCTCTATGCTACAGCACAGGGAAAGGATCAGACTTTAGTGAGGACTTGTTAATGAACCTTGGGATCCTCAGATAAAGAAACAGGAAGATTGTTATGGAGAAGAAAATGCACTGAAAATGCCTTGAGTCTAATTACGCCCAGGGCAGGACAAACGTCACAACTGTCTCCTAATATTAAGAAATCCAAAGCAGCTCTTTTGGAAGGACTGTGGTTCCCCTGGATGCAAAAGGCAGTAAGTTGAGTAAAGATGATAAGCACAGGAATAATTCATCACACTTTCTTTTCGCTATCAGCTTACCCCATTTCCTTGCCTGGGCAGAGTCCCAGAATTGCTCACAGCCATTGTGCCGAGTGCTGCTCCCCCAGAGCCTTGGGAGAGCTCAGCAAGCCTGAGTGACTGCTGCTTCTTAGAAATAGCCACTGCAGCCGAGGAGGGCCTTGGATGTCTCAGAACTGTCACCCTTCATACTTTCAAACACTGGTGAAATGTTCCCCAAACATTTCCCCTTTCTCTAGAAATGTTTGTGATTTCACCTGAGTTACACCCCAAACTTGCTTATGTTTAGTTTGTTCTGCTGAGCTCCTCCCCTACGGATGCTGCAGATGAGAACTTGGTGCTGCTGCCAAAAGTGAGATGCTGCGAGGAGCTGCCTCGTGGGGAATGGATGTGTCTCTACAGGAGTGGAAGTGCAGCTGAGTCTGTGGTGCAGCATTGTCAGGCATCTTGCTGCTCCATAACCCAAGGCACCCAGGTGAGTTGTGGAGATCCCACCCATGGGACCAAGAGCTGGCCTTTCCTTTAGGCAGTGGTCTAGCCTGTCCCTCTGCTCCTAGTTCATAGCCCTGAAACTTCTTTGGCATTAAAGTCCATTTCAATGAAGACAGAGAGGTAATTTATTTTAAAATGTGCCATTTATTGATGGAACTTACACACCTGTGGGCATATGGGCCCCTCCAGACTTAGGCAATACCTGAGGAGAGTTTCATGCTCCTGTGTTTTATCAGCACTCCTGGAAGCTGAACACCACTGTTGATCTTGTCCTCCTTGTGAAATACAGCCTACAGCAGACCTCTCCATGGAAAGTGAATACTGAAACTCAGAGCAAAGACCTGTCATTACTTTGGTATTGCACAAATAACTTGTTAGCTCAGTGAATTTTTAAACAGAAAAAAAGAGCAAGCTTCTTGTTATACCTGTTCCATATTTATCAATTGACAACAGTAGTGCAGAACGCTGTGGCAATCATTACATTCACTTCTTAAAGTGAATCAAATGAACAGAAATTGTTAAATGCCAGAGTACAATATAGCTTATAAAACCCAACAGACATCGGAAACTTGTACTGATTGGGCTCTTAGATGTTGTTTTCCTCTTGCTTAGGAAAGAGAATTGTACTCAGCTTGCAATCTCCCCAACATTGTTCATGAAGGAAGCAGACAAAAAGTACCAATGAAACAGAAGGGCTGCAATTTAGTTAATTTTATGCAAAACACAATCAGCATTCAAACTGGGAGTTACCAAGCAGAAATGTATTGATAGAGAAGCCAAAATATTCTCTGTGCATAAATGGTGAAATATGAAAACAAAATTTCAAAGAGACTCCTGGAACTCATGCAGCTATAGGCGAGAGAAGATGCAAGGGTGAAGTTTGACACTATCAAAGTCAAGATGAGTTCAGAGAGGCTGTGATTTAACCCTTCACACCCAAGGCCATGCCCCTCTGGTATGAACCAGCGCAGCGCTGGTGTGACAGAAGACCTTGTACCAGGAGGGGGAAAACAGACACTGCTTTTTCGGCAGCGTGATCAGAAGAGAGGGTGATTGCTTGTAAAAGATGGTTGCAAAGGATCTATGCTGGGGAGAGGATGGAGAGGAAGAGCAATAAGGAGCTGGTAAAGAACAGAGAAATGCAAAGAACTGCAGATCAGCTGGGGAATGTAATTATGAAGGTGATGGCTATGCAGGATCTGTTTTCTAGTCCTGGAGACCCCTAAGTTGATGATGGTGAACACTGATGTCCCATTTTGTGTTTTACTTGGCATGGCAGACTCCTCTTAGCATTAAAATTATCTAAGTGGGCACAAAATATTTTTGTAGAGAACATGCACTCCTCTTTCCCAAACTTCATGCACCCCACTGAAATTTTAGGATTAATCAGCCTTTATGTCTCAAATCCCTGGAGGCTCCAGTCCAGTGTGCGTAGTCTCTCTCTGTCTATAGCATCGTCTCTGTCTGTAGCAGAACCTGTGTATGCATGCTTTCTCTGCCTTCATTTTTTGAATTTGCAGTGTCCCTTGACTTGTAACCACCAACTGTGTTCAAAGACAACCAGAAGTTGGTTGTGAACCATGTCTGAGGATCATGCTGACCGTTAACATTTAGCAAGGGTAGCGGTTTGGAGAGGGAAGCCAAAAGCTATTCACTTTCTGCTCTGCTTCCAGCATCCCGTTTAGGTTGGTTTAATGCCTAACCTAGGCTGCAATTGAGGTTAGTGCTTTGGATTTCCTTCAAGTTCCAGTTCTCCATACACTGTTCTGTTTGCAACGTTTGCTTGACATGGCTGTCTGGTATGGTTTGATGGTGTTTTGCTAGAATTCCTGTGTGTACAGAAGCTAATAAAGGAACTGTCAACTCAGAAAGCCCATCTTAAAATATGGTCTTATTGGCTTGGGATAAGAAACACAGAGATCCCTTGCCCAAGCCTCTTCCGTGGAATTTGTGACGCTATTTTAATTCCTTTGGTTTCCAGTAACCAAACAACCATTGGGGTCAAGCAAAAGTCAAGGTATAAAAATTCATCACTATGAGGCTCCTTACCTATAAGCTGGCCATATGTTAGAGGAATGATCTGGACTATTGCAGTTGTCTTACATCTCTTGATGAGTGTTTGTATGTGTAATTCAAATATACCCATGTGTTTGAATTCCAGCTGGTATTGATTGAATTGGTCTGTGATAATAAACAGTATAAATTAATCAGATGGGAGTTAAAGCATTGATGTGCTGTATGGGGGGAAAAATTAAATTCAGTGCAGTGACCTTGAGCAGAATGTAATTTCAGAAGTGCCTTAAATATGCTGATGACGTAAAATAAGGCTGAGGAAGTTGGAGGGGTAGGAGACAGAGGAACAAAACAAACTAATTCACAATGATTTGGATTTATCAGGATCACAGGCTTATGCAGTTTACGGTAGGGAAGTGTGAGGTAATGAGGCCAGGGACCAAAAGTAATCAGACTGCAGACAGAGCGAGAGCAGTGCAGAATACAGATCAGAGTGTGGCGAAAAGGGCAGTGAGCACTGGGGGAAGCCCTGTCTGAGGGGAAGAGCTGTCTCGGTGCTTCTCTTCTTGCAGAGCTCAGCTCTACAGCTGCACTTACTGCATGGCAGAGACATGGCTGCTCCTGCTAAAGAGTTCCTGTGCAGTGTTGTCAGTCCATGAACTGGCTTGTACATGAGAGCTGGGTTTAAAATGATCTTTCTCTTTGAAGATCTCCAAATAAAGTTGTACCTCTTT